CGCTGCCTTTTTGTTTTAGTGAACATTATGTTCAGTGGGCAGAAATCTTTGGTTTGATACAGTCTCATTTGTTTGTTCTTGTTCCTGGAGAGAACAATTCTTTGTGCATTATCATTTTCAAGGTCGGATCTTAAATTTATTGTAGTTCATAGCTTTCTCTAGAAATTTCTATTTATTATTGATCTTTTCACATCCTGCATCTGTTATATTCATATTTAAAACTTGATATTCTGTTTGTTAATTTTATTTTCGAAGGCTTTTTTTTCCCCAATAGGCTTTTTTTTTAAAAAATATTTTTATATCTTTGATCAGGTTTTCTTTCTCCCATTTCTTTGAGTTTCTTTTTCATACCAATTTTACATTTGTATCTGATAGGAAGCAAAGCTCTTCCACATCTTCCTTAGTAGTTTGTGGAGGTTTGTTCTCTTTGTGATGTAGTAATTCACGTAATGACTTCCATCTTCCTTTATCATATTTGCTGTCTAATTATTATTTACTTTCACAATTCTAAGGGTGCATGCAGAGCTTCCACTGTTGATGGTTGTATCAGGGAGAACTAATCTGTATCTGGTTCTGCAGTGACGTGGGGGGTGAGGGGTGGGTGAAGGATACCACAGGAGGATTCTATTTCTCATGAAAGTGCTATGTATGCTCTTCTCTCTGTGCTTTAGACTTATATTTCTGCAGCCTGCACTGGACCTCATATATCTGTTCCCTGTACCCATATGATCATGGGGAGAATGGGTGGGGAGATTCATGTCTGCCTTTCTCAGTGGGGACCTTACCTATCTGGCTCATTCAAACACTCACTGTTTATCTCCTGTGGACAAATCCATAGCAACTGGCTTGGCCCTCCTTCCCATAGTTTCTGCTCAAAGTATCCCACCTCACCTACTCAACCTTTTGTGCTGAAAGTTTAACTTGTTGTGTGTCTCTCTGGTGCTAGGTCAGTATTCTGTCCCTTACGATCATGAATTATTTTGGTTTCACCCCACGTTATGATGACCTCTGCGTTTGGTGCTAAATTGGAAAAAGACTCTATCAAATAACACCTTTTATGTTTTGTTCACTCTAAGCATATCTGTATTACTTAGCATTTATACTTTGATTTTTATTGCTTCATTTCTGTTGCCCCCATTATAAAAATGCTTGTTCTAAAATTATTGTTGCCCAGTTCTAATAGCTGACTAGGAGGAAAGATTTCTGGAACCCCTACCAACAAGTCTCAAGTCCTTTTTAAGAAGTTACTACTTTTAATAAATAATTTTTGCTTATTATTTTTTCATACAATTTGCCTTTGCTGGTTTATCTAAAAAGTCATTGACAAATCTAGAGTCATTTAGGTTTTCTTTTATCTTCTAGAAGCTTTATAACTTCCTGTTTGTTATCTAGTTTTATGGCCCATTTTAAGTTAATTTTGAGTAGATAATATGGTTTATTTCTAGATTGAGTTTTATTTTTTTGCATGCAGGTATCTCATTGTTCCAGCACCATTAGTTAGAAAGAATATCTTGCACACATGGGGTAAATCCCATATGACTATAGTGCATTCGCTCTTTTTATATATCGTTGGGTTCAATTTGCTGATACGGGTTGTTGAGGATTTTACATTTATGTTATTGATAGTTTTTTGGCCTGTGGCTTGGTACCTTGTACTATAGGGTAATGTTTTCCTTGTAAGTAATTTCAGGAAGCGTTCCCTCTGCTTTTATCTTTTGAAAGAAACTAGAGCATAAGCATAGTTTTTCCTTAAATGTTTGGTGGAATTTGTCAATGAGTCCAAATAGACTGGTACTCTCTGTTTTGGGGGATTTTATATTGATTAAGTTTCTTTAATAGATAAACCTATTATTATATGTTATGTTGACACAACTTTCCAAGATGTTGAAAGTATCCTTACTTTCAGGTAAAGCACTGCTGTGATATTTATGTGTTCTAAAATCAAACTATCTAGTTCTTACTGCAGTCGGGTATTTCACTTAAGGATATGAACCTGACTTCTTTTACTGTGA